TTAAACTTGTCGCATTCGTCATTTCCGGGGACCATGATGACCTCCTCCAGATGATTGAAGATGCCATTAAGCACGAAAAAAACGACAAAGAAATAAATAGAGACTTGAAACAGCAAAAGAGGGATGAGAAGAAGAAGGCGGAATGGGAGGCAGAGCAGCAAGCTGAGAGTACAGATGATGCGGAGCCTTCTGTCACAAGCGAGGCAAACAATATGTGTGTTCGAGTGGTTACTCCGGAGGACATTGGTGATGAGATTTCTACTAGCGCATTAGTCGTTGGTGGTGGTTCAGGTACTGATGACGAAAATGTTTGGACCGACCATGTGTCAAGGGATGAAGGAGCTGGATCACCTCCCGGAAGTGCTACTGCTACTAGAGCATCACACGACACAAGTGATGAAGGCCCAACCAAGACCATTGCCGAAATATTCAAAGACTTCAGTCCCAAGAATGCTGAATGGCAAACAGTTGGAGGACACGCTGTTCCCAAAAACTTGGAACAGCATTTACTGGACGTTGCAAAGATGCTCAAAGATGACCTGGCCTTGTCGCTCGAAAACGAAAGAAAGGAACAAGCGATAGACTTGAAAAAAACAAGATTTGAGGCCACTAGAGCACAGAAAAAAATTGTGAAGGAAGCAAAGGAGGCTGCAAACCGAGCTGCAAAACAAGAAAATGAGAATTTGAGAGATACCATCAAATATTTGACAGCGAAATCGCAACAACAGTCAGGTGGTGCTCCTGAGGTGCATCAATTAGTGGCTGAAAACCGGGCGTTGGCGAAGGACAAGTTGCAATCCGAAAACAAGGCTAAGACATTTAAAAACGAGGCTAAGGAGTGGAGGCGGGTGTGCCTGAGCGCTTTTGAGGTTTCAAAAAAGTGCTCCGTCTGCTTGCCACAAGTTAAGAGAAACTGTACGGTACAGTCGGACAAGTTGAGCACCAATCCAGTGAAGCCGTCCCGGCCCGGCAGCAACACATTGGAGGAACGTCAAAACAAAACTCCCCGCTTCATATAACTCATTATAATAGTCAAGTGTATTGATATCGCAGTGAATCAGGCTATCATCGTTTTGCGTAGTGGTAGAAATTGTTGGGTACAAGTCCATCATCGTCCACTTGATTCATACTCGTACATCATCGCCATTCCCACATACCAGGAATCACGTCTCTCGATTATTGATCGTAAAATGGTAAAATATATGTGACCCAACTTAGCATTTCCCCCATAGAAAATCGGCAGATTTTAAAAAAATAGCACAATACAGATCCAAAATGGTTATTTTTAGAATATACCGTAACGCCAATAGCTCCGTTTTCTTAAGATTTCAATTTCATGTAGATTTCATATTGGTGAAAAGAAGTGTGCGCCAATTTTAGACGTCGAAAATATGAAATTTGTCATCATCGTTGACGATGGTGAGTACGAGAAGGAAGAGGAAGGATAATGTTGCAACTGTTGCGACTCCTTCACCAACAACAAAGCAGAAAAAGGTCTTCACTTGCTGTCATGCCAAGTCAAATCATTGGTGTAAGACTTGTGGGTTGTGTTTTTATTGCCGTGGTCCGACAACAGGACCGCCAGAATACAAATCGACATGCCATAAACCACACAAATTCGCCAAACACCCTCGCAACAAGAGGCAGAAGACAAGGGACGACTGCACTAGTCTTACTCCCAACACAAAAAGGACATGCGTTGCTAAACCAACAAGGCTATCGAAGACTGTATTTTTGAAATCGATTCTGAATTTGATTCCGACGACGAAAATGATGGTGACAAGCATGACGGTGTGATGCGAAATGATTGGAACGAGCAACTGAATAACCCAGTGTCTCGAATCAAACAGTTCATGGGAAAGTCAAAAGCTGAAATGAAAAAGCTGAAGGCTGGCTTTCTTACCAGGGAGATTGCAGCACTTCAGGCCCAAGATTTTGAACGTCAGTTGATTGTTGCGATGAATTCCTACAAAGATTGCCCAGTTGCTGTGGAAGGTGTCCGTGGAAAGGTAACGGATGTTATCATCCAAATGCAAGGAGGCGTATTCGACAGTGCAAGCTTTGTTGTAGAGTTTGATGGTCCAGCAGCACACGGAGATGGATCGTGAAGACGTGGAGGAGGCGATGGCCAGCTTTGATGAACTAGATGATGATGATGATGATGATGATCAGAATGTTGATGTTGAGTGGGATGTTGATGACGATGATCCCGTAAATTTCCAAGAGCTGGTGAGGCGAGAGGTTGAAAGCGCGAGTCGTAGAAATGTTGTGTAGGCTTGGGTGTAGGTAATAGCCCAGCTTTGTTACGTATTTCTTCAGTATTGGTAGCACTGACAAAGGTGATGTCTGCAGATAATGATCGTCTTGGAAAAAATCAGTAAATCTTGGATGCATTTTGGTTCCATTCTGCTTCTACGCAAAATTCAACGAGGCGCCTGGTACAATACCTACGAATTTGCGCGCCGACCGGTAATTTCCGTACGTCGTCAGTTTCTGAACCCACCGCGCACCTCTATGCGCAATTCCGTTGAGAATTCTTCAATCACATCAATTTTCCCTTCCATCGACAATGGTGAGCGTCGAGGCCGAGGAAAGCATCACCCTCTGGAGGAAAACTCGTGGATCGCGGACATTCTCTGTATCTTGACCGTATCTATCTTGTTTGTATGAAGCGATATGGATGCATTTGCCCCTCTCACCTCTGAAATCACTGCTAAAGAACCTCAACGAGGTCTGAAAACTACTTTTAGAGCTGTTTTGGGACGTCTACGAAGTCCCAAGGCAACATAGAGCTAGAATTTTCTGCGGAAGTTGCTTCTCTTATTATACTAAAGGCAGTGATACCATTTTATGTTCTTTATCTGGGTTCCTACAGGACGATTTTCAACCGAGATCATTGAGTTGCAAATTCGTCGGTCACCATGAAATTGCACGGCCTGGACCCCATGAGGGGAGAAAGTGGAATCAGAGGTTGTGACAAGCATAGTTGATATATATGTTACGTCGGGAGCGGCGGTAATGATGTTGAATAGATTTTGCTTGGCCGCAATCACACAATAATCCACCATGGTTGGTTCCGTTGGTTGCTTGGACTGGACGGATAGGTGTCAAGAAGACGTATTTGCCGAATGCGACTCATACCTACCGTCACCATCAAGACAATATCTACACGGAGACTTGTTCGCAGCGTCCAACTACCCAAATTGACGATTTGGAGCACATCAAGGTGACTTGGTGCGATTGTTCCCCTCGTTTGGACAAGCCAGTGTGGACGCCCAGAGAAGTAAAAACCGCCGAACATGTTGTGGCAAGCGTATTTGATAGATAGACTATGGCTGGAGCGGCGATTCATACTTCTATTTGCCTCAATTACACTACAATCTACCCTGCTTCGTTTGGCTGGTTCTGTTGGGTTGCAGAACCTGGTCGGCAGAAAGTGAAGAGGGCCAATGCCTCACATTCAACATGTGCTGGAAAGCTCGGCAGTGATCATACCTACTCGGGGCTCCATTCGGTTGTGTTTTCTCTGGAATACTTGCTGAGATATTGGAATTCCAGTGTTTGGTGCTGTCTGTTCTGCTTTCAGCATGAAGGTCGGCATGGCCGCCCTGGAGACAGCCAACCACTCAACAATATACCAGAGCGTCCCTTGGATACCTATTGTTCTAATTTTCTGGGACCCAGGCAATGGATCCGCCTAGATTAAGAATCATGCCGCCCAAAGGGGGTCAGAAATCATGGAAATCTGGTTCAAAAAGCCACTTGGTTGTGGTGTGGGCCGAATTTCCAGAAAATGACTTGCTCTAACACATATTTGTTGTTCATGGGTATATATGAGAAGATTGATAGCTTTGGAATGGACGTTTTCTAGGTAAAAGTGATTGAATGGCACTCACACTGCTTTGGGGATCAATCCTGGTTCATTAAAGAATGTGGCTGGAATCCTTCCCAGTAGTCTAGTCGATACCCTGACACAATGGCACCAAGTTCAAAGTTGTCAAAATACATATAGTAATCGAATTTGGGCGGTGCTTTGGAGGTCTGTGACGGAAAAAAGGTTCCAGGCTTGCATAATTTTTCTCTCTCTTTCCTACTTTTCAATTCACTTTGTGGAATGGCCTGGAATATGATCGATTCTACACTAAAATCTCTAATTCAGAGTGGACACAGTCCTAGCAAAGATATATAATTGTAATACCGCATTGAAATTTATCTAAGAATGAAATCGCAACAAGGTCGTATGGTACGAGATCAGCCTCCGGCCTCTTGAGGTTTTTTTGGTAATCACACGAGTCAATATCAAGTCAATTGAGTCAAATGTACTAACGGCTGGTTTTTTAGCCGTTACGAGGTATTTTGTTTGGTGTAGTTGAGGCCCTCTATCATAACCCTAAGACATAACTGCTCAAAAGGCATATGGAAAGTATAATCTAAGACCCCATATCATTTATAGGTTCAAAGGTGCTTTTTAAATTTTTTGCTTTGTCGTCAAAATTCCAAAGTCCTGCCGAAATTATGCCCAGGAGTTGGGTCATATAGTCCGCGAGCAAACCGAACTGCAAAAGCGACGTATATTTTTTATCATCGATTCGTGGGCAAACGAGAAAAAGTGAAGTCTACACTGTATTTTCCTTCTTCAGTCAGTCCGCGAGCCAACGGACAAGTAAACTGAGAAACGGATGCCAAAAGCAGGCTGAATCTCAACATAAGTTCAATTGTCATGGGCAAAAGTACAGTGAAGATTAATATGGGACAAAGGAACAAAAGAAAGCGGAAGGAAGAAAGTAGTAGTAATAAGGAAAGGAATGATTCTAGTTCCGCCGCTGATTCGGCCACTAGTAGTCCAATCGCGACTCTCTCTACTCTTGAAGGGCGAGGTTTGGACAGCAGTGGTCTGGCTGGCAGTAGCAACAGAGCTACCAATGGCGCTTCTGGTAATTGTTTGGATGAGTTGGACAGCATCCTCGGCAGCTCCACTTCTTCGGCTGATTTGCTGGACAAGAAAGACGCTGGCGAAGACACTGATGCCGCAGAGCCCACTTCTAGTGTGGATCCGTTTGAGCTTTTAGCAGCCTACTCTGGCACCATTTCCGATTTGGATGAAGAGCCTCTGCCAAATTTGCTGGCCAGCTCCAGTATTGGTACCTTTGAGGATGAAAGGGTCTCGTTTCGTCAAAACATTCGTGACACTGGAGAAAACATGGATGAAACCGCTGACACCAGGTCCATCCTTCTATCTAATGATGATAAGAGAAAAGAGATCACACCATCACTTTGTATTGAAGAAGCACTCACAAGCGACGAAATCACAGCAGACAGTGATGGCCACAAAGTGAAAGGGGAGTACGATGCAGACTCCATGGCCTTCGTCACAACTGTCGTGAGGGACTTCCGGATGTTCAACTCCGTTGAAGGGATAAAGTTCAGCCCAACTCATGCGAATAGAGCGCCAAGGAACATTCGAATTGCCATGCCAACAAGCAGCAGGAGGAACTTCACTCC